GTTCATTACAAATTGACTCCGTGGATTGAAACTGTGAAGGATGTTACGTTTTTTTCTGTACTAATTTAGTCGATTTTTGGAAAGAATTATTCTTATCACATGAGAAATAACGGGATTTTAAATGACTAATATCATTTATGTATGTGAGCTCTCTCTGTACACGGGTCGTTCAACAGCTGTTCACTGTCCAGGGCGTATGACCAGCATGGGATTATTGTCTTCTTGTAGTGTTTTAAGAGAGTTAATATTGAACATGTTTACGGCAATATTTCAGCCATAAACAGATATCGCAATCGTAAGTGAGTATTGTTTAATGACGTTATTAGTAATGTTCTAGCAATATCACGGCGAGAACACCAGAATGGGCTTCACGCATTGCACCCATTTGGGGAATCGAACCGGGAAATTCAGGGTGATGAGCGGACGCCTTAACCATAAAGCTACCCCACCGCCCCGTAATCGTACAATGAAGCGCCTCATGAAAAAATGGGACATGTGGTAGGCAACTTGGACTGGGTGGTCATGTGAGGGTAGGCTAGTCAGGTCAGGGTGGTCAGGTCGAGGTGACCAGCGTAGGCTAGTCAGGTCAGGGTGGTCATGTGAGGGTAGGCTAGTCAGGTCAGGGTGGTCAGGTCAGGGTGACCAGGTGGACGTCGGGCAGGCAGGCTCCATCTTTATACTCGATTACGAATCGTCAGTCCACGCTCTCCTAAACCTGTTACTCTGTGAAGCTCATCTCCAATTTGAGAAACACTTTAACAATAGTTCTAACACAGTCGTTCTGATGAAAAGGTCTCGTGCGCCAGATGGCGCCCTTGGTCGACCAGATCGACGCCTGTCAACGTTATTTGTTTGTCGATATTGGGATTGCAATCTGCTAATTACTGACTAGAAAATGTTTAGAGCTCGTGCCACAACGCTGTCTTGTTTCAACTTCCAACATGCCAGTTGCACGCAGCCGATACGGTCGTGACAGATGTCGTGTGTGACAAAGCCTTTAATTGAATTAAAATCAATATCAGAACAGCTTTCAGTCTGGTTTTGTCACCAGCATGTAAGCAGCGCACTGACACGTTGCAGTGTAAATTTCAAACTTCACCCCGACAGTCATCACGCGCAAATCATACACGAAATTCAAAACACGTGAATCTAATAATCGTATTCTAAATCCACATATAATCACACACCTTGGTTCCCAAATAATATCATCTAAAAATGGGTTAACCTCTACTTTTGTAATCGTATAAATGTGCATGCATGTCGAAGGGAATAACATACTTGACACGAGTTTGCCCAAAGATTCCATACCCTGCCCTGCCCTGCCCTGCCCTGCCCTGCCCTGCCCTGCCCTGCCCTGCCCTGCCCTGCCCTGCCCTGCCCTGCCCTGCCCTGCCCTGCCCTGCCCTGCCCTGCCCTGCCCTGCCATACTATACAGAACTTTTAATGGTATTTATGATGTGTTCAGTTTTCGGAATTCTTTGTACCATCTTACTTTAACCCCAATGAACTTTAACTTTATACTTTAACCCCAAACACTACAGTTAGAGCTGCTCGTCTTACAGCACAGCACCATAGATTTCCCCAGGCGGACTCTGAGGAAAAGAGGGGGCGGTGGGGTAGCCTAGTGGTTAAAGCGTTGGCTCGTCACGCCGAAGACCCGGGTTCGATTCCCCACATGGGCACAATGTGTTAAGCCCATTTCTGGTGTCCCCCGCCGTGATATTGCTGGAATATTGCTAAAAGCGGCGTAAAACTAAACTCAGTCAGTCAGTCAGTCTGAGGAAAAGATCATCACAAATATTGGAAATACCACCCACAAAAAGAAAGACCTACGGTGACAGGTCGTTTTGCAAAGCAGGACCAATATTGTGGAACAATCTCCCAAACAACATCCAGGACATATGCAAACTCGACCTGTTCAAGCGAATGCTAAATTCTCATCCTTTGGACACTGCCATTGCCTGAGCGCCTTTGAGCAATTTGTTGGAACAGGCGCTCTATAAATATTAACTTTAGTATTATTATTATTTCGAACCCACGTATGCATAACGAATTTCAACGCCATCGACTAGTGTGCTCCGTTTACGGATTGAAATGATGTCGTGAAGTCTCGTTGAAAACGTGTTTAGGAAGCCTGACGTCCAAAGGAAAGTACACCAAAATGTGTTCTGTCTCATTACTTCATGAAGTATAAACAGAAATGAAACCATGATAAAATATGTCGCGCAAATGCAACCAATAAAGTCGCCTGAATTAGGCGTTAGAAAGTGTAAACTTAGTAAATATGACATCAACATTTCAGGAACGAAACGCTCGGGAAAAACGTGTCCAAAACGCTGCTGACAAAACAAGTCCAAAGCACAGAAAAGCAGCCAAAAGTTGGCCTGATTTAACAGTAATCCAGATAGGGAGGTGTGGGAACAGGGTCCTGTAGTGAACCTGGCTGGTCCGCATGGGAGGAACACTTGCTGGCATGACCAGGTTGTTGGAAACAGATAACAGACAGACCTTGGAGTGGGGGATTTACAGAAATACATTGAACTTTAGGTTCCCGGCCCACATACAAAGACCCATAGACAAAACATACAGTAACTTACATAATTGGTTACATGCAGTAGTATATATCAATTTGGATATACATTTTTTATACATAAGACGTTATTTCTTAAGATTGTTGCATGTTTTAAATATAGTGACAGTTGTGAAATATCGGTATCATTTCGTGAGGTCATACAACTTCTGGTGGTTTACTTAAGTTACGTGTTGATGTATACAGAATTCTCATCTTATTAAAAGCAAAGATAAAGTGGATTCATTCTCTATACCTCTTTTACATAACATATAAGTCCTCTCATTTTTATCAAATACACCGATGACTACCATATTCACTTTAAGCCATAGAATTCGGAATAGAGGTCCGAGTGGGAGATTCCAAGTGTCCAATGTCCGTTCAACACCGGTATATCCGTGGATCTGAATCCGAAGCTGCTACATACCCGCGAAAGCAACGACATCGACGGCATTCGGAATCCGTGTTGGTCGTGAAACAGAGTTACGGCGACTGAGGGAACGTTATATCCGAGTACGTCGGCCCTACCGCGGTAAGGCGTTGATGCCACCATACAGAGGTGAAAAGTTGAGATTGACCAGTCGAGTCCGGCCTTTCTTTCTCTGAGAGCAGGTTTAGCCTGTTTCGAGCTAAAGGTGTATTCCTTCAAAATTAGGAATAAAACAAACAAGAATTCTGTAGCCAAAGAATGTAGTGTTAAACTAGCAACCAACAAAGAGCTGCCATACAAGTATCAGCTGTAGAGTAAAATATGCTATGTTTACGGGTCAATAAAAAATACTGCAAAGAAAATACAGAGGCAGTGTGAAACAGAATAGCACTGGTAACAGCAATTTCCAGTGATAATTCATTTTTATTACTTCAACGTCACCACGTCCATCCGTCACATCGGATAATAGTACATTCCTAGAAACTAATAAATATTGTTGATATAAAATATAAAGAACCTCCAATAATCTTCATAGAAACAATTAATGCAATGAAAACATTGTTTAATACATTACACTGCCATAATTATCGTCATCGTGAGTGCAGACGGCAACGTGAACGTCTAACGCCGAAATGCGTCCAGGAAATGCATCCATTTGAACGCGGTGGCGTCATGGTCTTGGGGGGAATCGAGGTAGCCTTGAAGACGAGGCTTGTTATTGCTCATGGCAACAATGCACAGGTGTAAGGGGGTGACGTTTTGCCAGCCGTTGTGCTCCATTTATACACTTCCAGTATGTTAACGTTAGACAATACACAGCAAAGCTGACACGGAACGTCCTCAACATAAGTGTTAATGTTTCACCAATGCCTGCATGTGCATTTTACAGGAACACCATGGATCATCTGTAGAGCATCTTGTGAGGCAAATCGAATTCAGATTCGAACAGCACCATCAGTCAGCCATCATGAAGTGGAGCCAAGAGTCGTCGCGACAGGGGTACGGTTTCCCTCAAACGTCATCAGATGAAGCCAAGAGTCGTCGAGACAAGGCTACGGTTTCCCTCCAATGCCATCAGATGAAGCCAAGAGTCGTCGAGACAGGGGTACGGTTTCCCTCAAACTTCATCAGATGAAGCCAAGAGTCGTCGAGTCATGGCAACGGTTTCCCTCCAACGTCATCACATGAAGCCAAGAGTCGTCGGGACATGACAACGGGTTCTCTCCAGCGCCATCAGGTGAAGCCAAGAGTCGTCGGGACATGACAACGGTTTCCCTCCAGCGCCATCAGATGAAGCCAAGAGTCGTCGAGTCATGGCAACGGTTTCCCTCCAACGCCATCAGATGAAGCCAAGAGTCGTCGAGACATGGCAACGGAATCTCTCCGACGTCATCAGATGAAGCCAAGCGTTGTGACACGTGTTGTGGCTTGCATTGACCCACGAGATGGACATCCTTAACATTAAACTGATGGTGTTGTACTTTGTAATTACTTACAGTCTTTTGTTATGTTTGTCAGTGACAACATGCATGATGATCCTTGAATATGTGGGTCGTTGTGGCGGTACGCTTGTCCTAGCGAGTTTCCGCCCTTGTATAGTTCCAGCGTAGATGTACCCGTACCCGTATGTATAGACAACGTTATAATTGTTTCTCGAAAGGATTCTGCTATTATGCAGTGAAGATGTCTCCATATGATCCAAAATACTCTCAACTGCCTTACTCGTTATCACAATGTCCTGGTGTACCTTTTCGGATGTCAGTTTATATATATGTGCAGCATTCTGTATTGCCCACAGCATGGTTAGTACATATATAACCTGTCCTTCACCTAGCATTTACGAACCGTGAAGATCCGGGTTAGAATTGATCTTCAGCAATCCATGCTTGTCGTAAGAGGCGACTAACGGGATCAGGTGGTCGGGTCGCTGACATGGTTGACATATGTCATCGTATCCCTATTGCGTAGATCGATGCTCATGTTGTTGATCACTGGATTGTCTGAAGGAGGCTCGATTTTTTACAGCCCGCCGCCATATACCTGTAATATCGCTGAGTGCGGCGTTAAACACCAAACCATCCAACCTTGTATTTACTCCTGGCGGGGACATCGGAATACATTTAAAGTGACTTCATGTATCCGGGCCTGAGGCTGCTACGTAATAGGATCAATGCCAGCCACGCATAGACAACGGTATCAACACAGCTGTCACCGTGGACGTGTGGTCCAGTGAATGAATATTGATGTATTTTTGGTCTCATTATTTACAGTAATAGAGTTGCAGGTGCTGGATGCAACAAGTGTCAGTTTTCCCAAGGAAGCACAAAACAACATGGTCAATGTGTCGAAAAATGCCTCGACCCTCGGACCTCATGGTTGTAATCTTGTGTGGAATTTGCCTCATTACAACATATATGAGTATATCTTCGTCAGCGCTGTGAGTACACATTTCATATAATAATGTTTCACTCCTGTAGTGTAAGAGCATTGTGTTTAGCCACGATGTGATTAAATTTGGTTGATTGGATGTCTTGGTTGGAAATGTGTGTGCTACAGTTAGGTATAACGTTAAAATATACACGAATACACATTCAGCAAGTGATACAGTCACTATGATAGTTTCATAAACACACACTCATTATACAGTTGGAATTGCAAAATCGACATTGATTTCGGTATAGATTTCTTAAGGATGTGGCGAGGTGTTTATTGTTTTTATATACAAGACATGAAGTCCTGTCTGTGTCACAGTCTATTGGTTCTATATCGTATACCTTCATAATATGCCGGGGTTTGACCATCCTGTGGTAAATCCAGATTAGAGCTTAGACGAGACCCCGAGTAAGCTATGTATGTGGTTAGAAGTTACAAAGTGGATCAGCTTCGGTTGCTTGGCAGTGTGTCATCCTGTCCTGACGGTGTTGGTCGATGTTGATGTAACCTGACCGTTACCTGCAGGACGTGTTTATTTACAGCAGCCGTTACATACAGTCGGACAGTCGCACGCACTAACGCTCCCATACACTCACTCACTGCAATAGTATCTCCGTGATGGCGATATCAGAATTTTCTATACCTATTACTCAGCCTAAAGGTAGCAATATTCTACTCAAAAATGTGATATACGAACGTATGTAGTTTAGTTGTTGCAGTGATTGATGTCCTACTATTGCCGGTCACGTACAGAATGGATCTTATATTGTGTTTACCACAGAAGCAGGAAATACCTCCGACATATCGTTTCGATATTTAAATATGGCGGTCGCGGCAGCCATATTGAAAGTACTGATTTCCTTTCTATTTCACCTGTTAGGGGTCCGAGCGAATAATATCCCCATGGTAACTCTCTCCTTCACTGGAGACACAATTAACCCTGATATCTAAATTCGCAGTTCGGAATTGCGTCTCTTATTTAGGTTTACATCGCGGTACACCCTTGCTAGGTTTCTAGGTTGGTCGTCACAATGGTTATTAGGTGTCGTGATTAAATTCGGAACCAATCTACAATTCAATAAACAGAGACCAACGAGATCATGCAAACAAAAACACTAGGAGTGAGTGGGTATGGTTTTACGCCGCTTTTAGCAATATTCCAGCAATATCACGGCGGGGGACACCAGAAATGGGCTTCACACATTGTACCCATGTGGGGAATCGAACCCGGGCCTTCGGCGTGACGAGCCAACGCTTTAACCACTAGGCTACCCCACCGCCCCCCACAATACTACGAACATATGGTGCAAACAGGATATTGATTACACATAATGTCTGTCACTGATGCGTCAAATATGAAAATAATCAAAATATCATCTAGATATCCACTATCAAACTTAATAAAAGCTTTTAGTAGGCTTGTGTTGTTGTAACCTCAATTAAAACATATGATCAAGACTTGTCCGAAACTCTTGGAAATTTCGCAGAAAGAACATGTTGGATTGTATTTAAAAAGTTGAGAAATGTAAACATCAAGAGCTGCAGGGATATTGCTTGAGGCGAAGGGAAGGTTGTTTGTCGGAAGTCGACTGTGTTATTGTCAGGGTGTACACATGGTTGGTTTCATGAGTGTGTTCATGAGTGAGTGAGTGAGTTAATATTTAACGTCACATCGGCAATATCGCAACCATATCGTGACGAAAACAATTCACATAAAAAGTGAAATGAGAACATTTGACATTGAAATGGAATATATGTACGTTATAAAAACCTGTCGACGAAGGACAGTAAAACAACTAGAATATCACAATTACAAGTAAAACTAGTATGGAGAGTTAAAACTGATAGCACTATATGGACAATACATTATAAAAACAAGCTACAGATCGCCAACACCAGAAGGTAGATCACCATACCAGGGACCATGGTCGTGTGTTCATGAACAGATATCATAAACATGTCCACCTCATCTTTCTGTCATTTCTATATCCACAACAGATTGAACGGAAAAGTGTCCTTGTATAAATGGTGGGGACAGCCACGTTGAAAAACTGAAAGTAAAACAAATTGAAACTACTGGGATTAAACTGCAACCATAGGAGTAGCAATCTGTAAGATCATATACTTATAAAATATTGCTTTTTGCTGACTGAATGAATTCGGACAGGGATCAGGACGACATCGGGAAACGACCAAGACAATATTCCACATTCAACATTGATGGCCTCTGTAAAGTTACTGAACGTCACGTGTTAGATCAGCTGGACGCACCAGTGACAAACACAATCCCCAGTTTCGGCATGTATCATATGCGTGTATTTCCGTGTTTTGGCAGTGAACAATTGACTTTCCTTTGCACGTGTTTGTGAGGGAAGCCAAACCTGGTATCATCACTATATTTCTTGGAGATTCATTCACACATATCTGTGATGAAGAATGATTTTCCTGTGATTATGGGCATCACGTTTTTGTGTTTGTAACAATCTATATTGTCTCCAGTACCCGATCATACCACAATCCAGTGTCTTGCTGGTATAAGCAACACATTTTACAAAAGAGTAGAGAACTATGTTTCAAGCAGCACATAACAGACAGTTATCCATAGATTTAATACTAATCCTGTTTGTTTATGTGACAGTTTTGACAGGAGAATCAAGCAGTTCCCCATCAACCAAGAGGTCAAGTGGATTGAACAGATTTCTTCATCTTCATCCAATCACATCAAGGATTTTAAATCCATCGCCATCCACAGATGTTCTGATTTTGAAATTACAACAACAAAGCCTGTGTATATAGTTGGTGAAGAAGTAAAGGTCCACATCGTCATCAGAGATAGCTACAACAGACGGAAGAGTAATGGAGGTGACTACGTAAGGTTGTGGATCAAGGATGTTACAAAGGGAGCATGTGCAAACGGGGTAATCACGGACAACCAAAATGGCACCTACACTGGAATAATAAAACTGCCTTTCGAGGGGAACGTGAAGATAACTGTTAGCTTGGCGACTCCAAAAGAAACTCTCGATGCTTTGTATTCCAATTTCAATGGCAAACGAATTAGAGAAATAATAGCACGTTTCAACAAAAATGGAATTTCGGAAGATACAATATGTCGACCAGATGAACACATTCCAGGATATGCTGCTGTTTGTAACTACACCTCTGGTAACTACGGGTTTCCCTGGTACTGTGGTCGACCATCGTCGTCGTCGGAGTTATCGTGCAGTGATTGGAATGTGACGAGCACAATTATGCCGGAGTTAAATTACACAGATCTATATAAGAAGATGTTCAGGTAAGATGCAAAGTTGAAGATGTATGACTTTGTTGATATTTTTCAGTGGACTTGTAATTAGTTTTGAGAAACAATGAATGTGTCTACTTGTAAAGAGTTCACATTTTCCTAAAACCATGTTTCCTTGAACATCAACCGTGGAAAATATTGGAACCGAAAACTCGTACTTTCTTTTGCAGGAACAACAGACTTCATCGACAGCTTAAGAGCAAGTCCAGCTTATACATAATAGTCTCTGAAGGTACGTCTATTTACGATTTAACTGTTCCACTTTTCCGCAAAGACATTATGTTATATTTATGTTATTAATCATTCCTGGTTATACCCGTCTCTATAATTCACGTGTCCATGGAAACATTGATAATATTTTATATTCTTTGATCATAATAGAAAAAACTAGACATAATGTAACAAACGTATTTTACATTGTTCACAGACTCAACAGCAACAAGGGAGGACAATCTCACCCCATGTCACGACCTCCCCCCTCGCCTGTCTTGGCCATCTTCTCACCCTTCTGGCTATCTCCAGAACTGGACATGGCATGTAACACACTGCAGGAGCACCTTCCACGACACACCACAGCGTTGGAATGAATGTCTCAAATCCAGAACTTTGTGGATGTTCGGAGACTCTACCACCAGACAGTTTCTCTTTTACTTAATGGAGTATCTCAACCTTCAGCTGGTGACGGAAAAGTGGCTAAAAAAGTCGTGGCATAAACCCTCATTACTTCAAAGTCCAAAACACAATTACTCCATATTTTGGGGACCCCACTGCTTCCCATTTCACAATGGGGTAGCGTGGGAAAATCTGGGTTCATTAAAAGCCACTCATGCTTATATCGATGAAATACCTAGCAGATCACGGGATATCGTTGTTATTCATTTCTATCTTCACTTCATGGCTTATCATCCTGACCTGTATAGGTTGCATGTTCGGAGAACACGTCAATCTGTAGCTGAACTCAAGATCCGTTCCCCGGATACTCTTGTGTTCGTTAAGGGATCTCATGCTTTCCGCGACCATGGAGCTATCATAGGTAGGACGGATGATATCTGGGGTGGCATTTATGACAAGATTGTAGAAGAGGAATTTACCGATTTGAAGGATAGTGTGATATTTCTCAACATGTGGGATATGACAGTTGCGTCTGAGAATAAGATGCAGCATCCCAATAGAACCATCATTCGAGCCATGGTGAATTATATGATGGGTTTTGTAAAATGTTGAAATGAACTTACATAATATTTATCAATTTGGAATAAATAAAATGGTACTTTTGTTCGAGTTGTTCGACCTGATGGTCCCACGCGACCACTTCCGGTTTCCGGGTGAGAGTAAGTTCAATCTACATATGACTGTACAAAGTAGATCTGGTAATTTTCACCGTACGCCTGAAGGCTTGGGCCTTTGTTTTCAAGATCAATCACTGGTTCGTCTGGCCCAGACCGGGTTATACAGTTGCCGTCGTATGACCAGAATATTGTTGAATGCAGCCTCAGAGAAACACGTGTTTACATGTGTAAAACGTATTGTCACAATACCATGACTGACACTCATCATGAATTACATGAACAATGTCTTGTGGTGTTGCAATATCACACCCTACACTCCATAGCGTGCAATCTCACGGTCAGAATAGGATATTCGCTGTTACACCTTAGAGAGGGGTTACAGGTGGCAATTCCTTTGGCATCCCTTTGTCCACTGTTTATCGTGTTTTGAAAAATATGCAAATGGATATGGCATTGAGCACCAGGGAGGCGCAGGTAGGCCCAGAAAATTGACTGTCGGTGACAGGAGGCGGCTTGGTATTCTTGTTTCTAAAAACAAAAGAAGGAGTTTAGAAAACTTAAGGCTGGATATGATTGATAAATGAACCGTGGCTGTCTGTAAGGAGACAATTAGAACTGAGCTGCATGCAATGGGTTGACAGAAAAGTCGAGAAATACCATCACCGATCATGAAACCTGAACAAAAGGAGCGAAGGTTGAACTGGTGCTTACAGCATAGAAATTTTAACTGGGACAACGTGATTTTCTTAGATGAAAGTTCAGTGTGGCTGTTTCCTAATACACTGAAATTCTGGACCAAACAAGCTGAAAAACCTTTGTATCAGCGCCCGAAGTACAGTCCGAAATTTAACGTGTGGGGTGGCATATCTGTGTTAGGGGCAACGCCCCTCTGTGTGTTTGAAGGGAATATGAACAGTGAGCGGTACACAGATATTCTCGAGGGACATTTACTTCCGTCTGCTCACGTGTTCTTTGGAAAGTTTTGGATTTTCCAGCAGGACAACGACCCAAAACATCGTTCAAAGCATTAACAGGCCTGGTTTCGGACCCAAAATATGACATTATTAGATTGGCCAAGCTATAGCCCTGACCTAAATCCAATAGAAAATGTTTGGGGACTTATGAAGGAAAGTGTCAAAGAAAAATCTGACAAATATTGCTGAAATGGAAAGAAGAGGTGGTCCGATATTGGGACAGCATGGACCACGATTTTCTATCTTCTTTGATCAGTAGTATGCCCCGCCGCATTGAAGCCTGCATTGCTGCCCATGGTGACTTGACAAAATACTAACTGTTCACCTGTCTTTGAATCTGGAGTTATGTTCTGCTAATATTCACATTTAATACGTGAGTAATGAGTGAAAAAAATATCTATAAAATTACAATCTTTAAATTCTCAATAATTTCGAGTTGTACTATATTTCAAGTATTAAGTGAGAGTTTTCTTTCTTTTTTTTTTCTTAAGTGAGTGAGTGAGTTAAGATTTTTTAGTCACATCGGCAATATTTCAGCCATATCGTGACTAAAGCAAGTTATAAATATATCAACAATTTAAGTGAAATTATAAAATTCTGCCAACGAAGGACATTAAAATAACTAGATTATCACAGATATAAATGTAAAACTAGTAATTGAATCTAAAACATTTTAACTATGGGGACAACACAATATAAAATGGGCTATAGATCGCTAACAACTGAAGGTAGATCACCATACTAGGGACCATGGGGACTTACAGTACATTTGCTTCACTGCATGGACCCTAGCTGGATTTACACCATCCCTTCAGCCGTCAGCAAGTTTTGACAAATTAGCCATAAGTTAAAATAACACATATTCTACGATTAAAACTAATGGTATATTTAAATTTAGTTTGAATGTTTTGGGACTTCACGTACCCTCTCAGGAGGACAATAATTTTACAGTGCTTCAACCCCTTTGAGGATACAGCCACTAACAATCTCAGCTGCTGAATTAAACTACCAATTATAAAATATTTATCTATTTACAATTCATTCAACAAATCTAATTTTTTTAAAAACGCAATAACTAAATGAGAACTGATATTATTAAAAAAAGATCCTTCATCGTTCGTGATTGGAAATAGATATCCCTTGTGATGGAATATTCAACACAGTCAAGCAAGACATGCTTGACCGTGATTCGTTCATCACAAGGGATACAAAACGGAGGATCCTCACCTTTTAATAGGTATTCATGCGTATATCTTGTGTGGCCAATACGACATCGTCGTATGATGACCTCTTCAAATCTGGACTGACAACCCAAGTAAGTGTAACCGATAGTTGGTTTTATTGCATGTAATTTATTAATACCTGCTTGGGTGTCCCACTTCTTCTGCATCAGATCACGGATGTAAGTTCTAATGCTAGCTTTGTAATCAGAGTATGGAATAAGAAGTGGTGTCACAGATTTGTTGAGTGCTGCCTTAGCAGCAAGATCAGCCATTGTGTTCCCAGAAATGCCAACGTGGCTGGGTAACCAACAAAAGACGATGTCGCATTGGCCAGTAGCAAGCTCATTATATAATTCGATTATTTCAATTAAAAGTGGATGTTTGCAAGATATATTTTTAATAGCCTGAAGGCAAGAAAGAGAGTCAGAAAATATTATATATTGTTTATGTTTGGGATGTCTTTGAATATATTTAAGAGCTGTTAATATGGCGTTTGCTTCTGCTGTGAAAATAGAGCTGTTATTGGGTAATCGAGAAGAGATTGTTCTGGATCCAATGACGGTGGCACAAGCAACCGCACCACCATCCTTGGACCCATCTGTAAATAAGGATGTGTATGTAGTATATTTAGTTTTTAATTGATTAAATTCTTGTTTATATTGTAATTCATTTGTTTCTGATTTTTTAAATGTTGTCAGTGTAAGGTCAACCTGTGGCCTAACCAATTGCCAAGGAGGAGAAGAAATAAGACGGGAAGGAGCTATATGTTCTAGCTCAATGCCAGCAGCAGAAAGGAAAGGTTTCACTCTTATACCAAGAGGTGGAACAAGAGAAGGCTTCTTGTTATACAGATCTTCATATATTGGATTAAAGACACAGTCATATGCAGGGTTTGACTTATTGGAATAAAGTTTTGTTATATACTGTAAAGTTAATTTTATACGGCGTTGTGTAAGAGATGGCTCATCAGCCTCGACGTAGAGGCTGTCAACAGGTGAAGTTCTAAAGGAACCAAGACATAGTCTTAGACCTTGGTGGTGGACAGAATCTAAAAGTTTTAGGTTGCTTTTGCAGGCTCCACCATATACGATGGAGCCATAATCAAGTTTGGAACGAACCAATGATCGATATAATTGTAGTAGGGTAGCTTGATCCCCTCCCCACTTAGAATTGGAAACGACTTTCAGCAAGTCAAGTGCTTTCATGCATTTAGTTTTAAGGGCCTTGATATGTGGAAGAAAAGTTAGATGCGAGTCAAAAATTAAACCCAAGAACTTGGCTTCCTTAACAACTTTGATGGGAGAGCCATTTAGAAACAGTTCCGGGTCTTTATGCGGTTTATATTTTCTACAAAAATGGATACAATTAGTTTTGGATTTAGAAAATTTAAATCCATTCTCAAGACACCATTTATCTATTTTGTTTAAACACAACTGCAGTTGCCGTTCAATAGTATGCATATTTTTACCACGACAAGAAATATTAAAATCATCCACGAATAGTGACCCATCGATTGAATCACTTAAGACCTTTGATAAACTATTGATCTTAACACTAAACAATGTGACAGACAAAATACTACCTTGTGGGACACCCTGATCCTGCTTATAATGGTCAGACAGGGTAGAACCCACGCGGACTTGAAATTGCCTATCAGTTAAAAACTCGGATATAAACTGAGGCAAACGGCCTCTCAAACCAAAATCATGTAAATCTTGTAAAATGCCGTGCTTCCATGTCGTGTCATAGGCTTTCTCTAAATCGAAAAATATTGACACTGCATGCTGCTTGTTAAGAATGGCATTTTTAACGAATGACTCCAATCGAACTAAATGGTCAATGGTACTGCGATTTTTACGAAAACCACATTGAATATTTGTGATTAAATTATTGGACTCTAAGTACCAAGTTAATCTGTTATTGACCATGCGTTCCATGGTTTTGCAAACGCAACTAGTCAAGGAAATGGGCCTATAATTTGAGGGATCGGTATGATCACGTCCAGGTTTAGGTATGGGTACAACAATGGCATCACGCCAAGATGAAGGAAAGTTACGAGATGTCCAAATGTCATCAAAAATATTTAATAGTGTTTCTAAACAAGATTCCGGTAAGTGTTGCAGGAGTTGATAATGAATGTTATCAGCTCCTGTTGCAGTATTAATGAGCTTGTTCAAGAGCAGTATGAAGCTCGTGGATAGAAAAGATTTCATTATAGTCTTCCCCATTATCCGAATGAAAATTGACTTGTTTCTTTTCTTGCAATTTTGGAATTTTTGAAATTCGGGAACATAGTTTGACGAGGAAGAATGTTTTGCAAGTGTCTCACCCAGTTTATTTGCGATGTCAGATTTATCTGTTAACAATTGGTCCCCAATTTTGAGATGATTAATGCTTGATTTGGTACCCTTACCTTTAATTCTCTGGATCATGTTCCATACCTTGGACATCGGCGTCCGTGAATTTATTTTCGAAACGTAATTTTGCCACGACTGGCGCTTATTAAGCTTAAATGTTCGACGTGCTCTAGCGTTTAAAATTTTAAATTTATCTAAATTATGCACCATTGGGTGGCGACGAAAATAGTGTTCAGCTTTTTTCCGTGCCTTTCTAGCTTGTTTGCAGTCATTATTAAACCATGGTTTACGTATATGTGGATTTGTAGAGGACCTAGGAATACACTCATCAGCTATTTTGTGTAGTTCATCAGAGAATAATTGCACTGAATCAAGAGCATCAATAAAACGAGCAGGAGTTAGTTTGTCAATACAGAGTAATTCAAACAAAGGCCA